TGCAATTGTGGATTTCGACACTGATTACCATTGGGTCGTCTTGGACAAGGTCAATGCCCTGGAAATCGGCATTGGTGAAAGTTATACTGGGTAACCTCCGAGTAGGCTGTTTGTCGACAGCGTGGATTGACCGAACGGCCCGCAAATGTCTTTTCTGGGCTAAAGATGTTGGACCTCCTCCGGCAAACCCACCTGCAATCGTGTTAATGACACGCCGATGAGAAGTTACAGGTTCGTCTTTCTTATCCCGTGATCTGCTTCGTTCACGTCGACGCCCCTCATAACGGTCTTGTCTGTGTCGATCATTGATGGAACTAGGTTGAAGAATTGATGTTCAACCATGCTTCCATGCAAAGGACCGTGATGCTTCTTGAGGTAGACACCTTTAGAACTCTGAAATCTCCTTTGAAGAAGCTTCAATGGAGGAGAAGTCCTTGAAGGAGGTTCGGCCACTCCTTAAGCTTGTGAAGGAAGCTTGAGGAACCAAGCCAAAAGTAGAAGAACTTTGAGAGAATCCTTAGAGTGAGGGTTCTCTTCGGTTTTGGGACTCTTGAGTGAGAGAGAAAATCAGATTTCTATTCTCAATTTGTTCAAAAGTGAGTACAAGAGTAGGAAAATCAAATATATAGGGGAAGGTAGCTTGTAGGAGAAACTAACCTTAACCATGGTTCACTAGGAACCATGGTAGGTTAATTTAAACTCCCACGGTTTAGCTAGCTTTTAGGAGAAGCTAACCTTGACCATGGTTCACTTAAGAACCATGGTAAGGTGAGCTAACCTTACTTGAGTTTAGAAGCTTGCAAGACAAGCTTCAAAACTCAAGAAGGAAACTTAGAAATTTCGGCCAAGTGAGAACTAGTAAGCTAGGCGGCCTTGAACCAAAATTGCTCCATGAATTATTTTAAAAATCTTTGATTTGGTTTAGTTAGGTTCATCATATGATGATGAGACCTAGCTAAATTAAATCTATGAAAAATTAGGAGCAAAATGAGTCCAATATGTAAAATTTTGCCTAGGCCCAACTCAGGCCCAATTTCTAAGCACACCCTCAATCATTGCTAAATTGCACCCCCTTTTCCCTACTGAAAAAATACAAAATGAAAGTATCAACTAAGGAGGTTAAATGGAGTTAAACTCTCCAAGTAACCTACCTCAAAATCAATATACAAACACTAAGATAAGCAAATAGAGTGCCTCACAAATACAAAGGCAAAAATGACCTATACAAAAGACTATGTATAAACTGTACAATGTATACAAATAGAACTAGGCATTCTCTTCATGATAGAGCATTCCAAGTGAAGATTACCTTGGGCTTGACAAGCCCACTAGTCTTCTCAAGGTCCAACTCTTCCTGTATTCTTCTAGCCATAGCTCTGGTCACTGGGCCCTTGGCCCATGATCTATCAATCATGGTGCCGAGGTTGATGTGCAGGTCGAGAATGCGATGAATTTGGCCGATCAACAATGTTCTGAAGTTGGCCTTGCTTGATTAAATCCTCAATTTTATCCTTCAGGGCAGCACATTCCTCAGTGGAGTGACCGCGATTACGGTGATACCTGCAAGATTTGCTGGTATCAGCGCGTGGTGGAGTGGAAGCTCTCTTTGGCACTGCTAGCACTTCGGACGAAAGGGCTTGTTCCAGCACTGCTGCCCTACTGGCATTCAAGGGTGTGTAATGAGAGTATTTTGGCCCCCGAATGGGTCGATCTCTTAGTGTGATTTCTTTGCCTCGGCCCCTGAATGGTTGCTCTGCTTGTTTTTCTGCCTTACCCACTGGTTCAGCTCGGGCTTGATTACGAAATTCCGTCAACTCTTCCATTTGCATATACTTATCAAGTCTCCTTCGTAGATCATTCATGTCCGAAAGGGGTTTCTTACAAAGGCTATTAACGAATGGTCCGGACTTTAAAGTCGTTGTGAGGTGATGGAGAGCTACGGCTAGATTGAGGTCTCGGATCTCCAAGATTGCCTTGTTGAACCGATCCATAAAAGTCTGAAGGGACTCCTTCTTGTCCTGCCGAAGACCAACTAGTGATAAAGACGTCAAGTTGTGAGGACGACTTGTTGCAAATTGGATGGTGAATTGCGATGACAAAGTGTTAAACGAGTCAATGGAGTTGGGAGGGAGCCTAGTGAACCAACTTAGAGCCCTGCCTTTGAGGGATGTCGGGAAGATCCGGCATAACGCTGCATCGTCGGTATTACTCAACGTTACCTGTGTCAGAAAAACATCAAGATGTTCGTCAGGATCAGTGGTACCGTCATACTTATCAATAGGCAAAGACTTCCAATTGTCCATCAGGGGGAGTTGCATGATGTCGGGGGTGAAAGGGTGACGATGCGATCCAACGGTGGCCAAGTCTGCAGGACGACCCACGGTAGGTTGAGCCGAGGGGAATTTCAGGGGAGTCGCCGCCAAGGCATGAGGGGCAGAGGTGTGGACCCCATGAGACCGATAGGATCCCTGAGTTGTGGTGTTAGTCGGCTGAGTGGGCCTCGATGAAGGATCTTCGTTCTTCAGTGCAGCGTTTTCGGCTCTTAAAGCCGACAGTTCCTTTGCGTCCTTCTCCCGTTGCTGCTTCATTGCCTCCATTTCTTGTTTTAATAGCCGAACGGCTTCGGAAAGATCCGTTTCGTCGACTACCTCAACATGTTCTTCCTCTTCGATTTGGTGGTCCTGTCTGAAGGGCACACTGGTAATTCTTCTCGTACTCTAAGGGCCGAACGAGTGTTCCAAGCGAATATTCCGGTGAGGGGAGGTACCTGCAAAAGGCACTCCGACGCTCAAGTCAGGACAAAGCACAGATATCGATAGTAATTAATGAACAGTGACGTTATCCCGTGACATACGCTATTTATACTGACATTTATGGGCCCGGATTCCCATGGGCCCTACAACAGGATTACCAGATTAGGTAATATGCCTCTAATCGGCTTATTGGTGTGATTAGCTCTTAATCCTTGATTACGGGCTAATTCTTAGCTCTTATTAGTAAGAATCTTGTACCTATGGACATTTGGTGGCCGAACGGCAATCGGCCACCTGATTCGACCATTTGGGTGCTGATTGGGTATCGGCCATCAAGTGGCCAAATGGCCGAACCAGGTGGCCGAATGGTTTTACTAGTACAAATACATTTTATCTTAGCCATTAGATTATATCCGACCGTTAATAATAACGTGACCATGCATGAGGGGGTCACAATTTTCCAAATCCATCTTAAACACTGCTGAACATTAAATTGAAACTCAGCATGCAACTCCATTTAAGCCAAATGGTACTAATTAATTAAATAGCAGGGCGTGCATCTTGTCAGTGCCGTACAATATAGCGGTTAATGGCTTCAGAACTTCTTTCTTTAATGCTTTCTTCTACTAATTGCCCCATCGAGAAAGCTATATATCATGCAACACACAGAAACAAAGCAACGTTCACATTTGCTGAGTGCTGCTGCAAGTGGGCTTCTTATCATCATTATCAAAACAATGAACAAGGCAATGCGAGCAAAACCAAAAATAAAATAAAACATGCAAACAAATAAAGAATCATATAGAGGAACTGAGTTTCATGAGTATCTTTGTCTACACTATTATTTAATTATAGACAATATCCTGAGATTGATTTCGCTGACTCACACACCAAGCATGCACGTGGTACTGTGATAAAAATCTCCAAAATTAACCAAGTTACCCAACATTTTTGGAGGTTACTTATGTTGGCTCTTTTCTTATCTAATTTAACTGCAGTTAATACCAAGATGAACTAAGGAACTAAGCACATATATATAATTAATGTTGAATTCATAGTCGAATTATTAAATAGTATCTAAATTTAATCTTTAAAAAATAATTTTTATTTAAATTTTATTAATCTTTTAATTAAATTAAATTAGTCTAAAGTAAAATCTTATCATATTTATTCGAAAAAAAAAAACGAGGCTGAAATGACCATGAAGCAGCCTTTGAACCACTAGTGGTGCACTACAGCCAGCACTTGTAATGCAAGAAGAATGACACGAAAACTAACAAAGTGAAAAGCAAAAAATAAAAAGCAGATAAAAAGGACAAAAATGAGTAGTGCGTGCCTGCTCCGGTGAATGTTTTCCACCAAATGCATACAGCATTTTCATCTCCAACGCTTTTAGCATGATCACAATAAAATAAAATAATGATAAAACTTGATTGTCTTTAACCAATATTAGAGTTGATTTTAGTACACAAATATGTATTAATAATTTTTAAATGGTTAAACAATAAGAAATTATCTTTATACCAGCATAATTGAAGTAATCCATTTTTTCAAAAAAATAAAATATAAATAAGAGATTAATTAATAAGTTAAATAAGAAATGAAATTATATAATCATTTTAAAATTAGACTTTATTTATAATTAGTGAAATAGTTTTGTTATATAGAATTAAATCATAAATCATATATTCATTATAGGTATATAGTTCATAATATTAATTAAATAACAAATTGGTCCAAGAATATTAAAAAAAAAAGTGAATATCACTATTATAATAGTTATAAATTATAGACAATTTTTAAATAACTATTATAAAAATTCACAACTTTTCAGGAATTACAACGTTTAGTTGAGTTTAACCATGACTATGAAGGTGTATTTTAATGTGAATTTTCCTTACACGAGTTATTGAAGTAAAACTGAGTCAAAAATAAAAGTAACTGATGTAAAACTTCTTCTTCAAAAAAAAAAAACTAACTAACTCTTGACGGTCAAAAAACTGAAGGAAAACAATTATACCATGAAACTTCAGGAAGTTACACACTTAATATTACGGAAATGCCCAGACCCAAACAGAAGTTATAGAATAGCAACGACTCGTAATTCACTCTCACGCACAGCAGCACCCAGCACGCTGACTCTCTCTCAGTTATCACACGTTCTTTCCTCAAGATTCCGCCACGTGGCACTCTTGTCCTACGTGTACCCGCTCCTCGACTTCGCTTTATAACCCTCTCCGCCTCTCATGTAACACTCATTTTCACTGTTCCACCAAACCTAACGAATAAGAGAAAGAAAACGCTGATACTAACGCACAAAGAAGAAAATAAACACTAAGCCCCTCCGTTTCCCTCTGTTTTGCTCCTTTCTCTCGCGAGACTCACCGATGGCGGAAGGTTCTGGAAGGAAGCTGATGGTGGAGGTTTGCAATGCGAAGAACCTCATGCCCAAGGACGGCCAAGGAACCGCGAGCGCTTACGCGATCGTGGATTTCGACGGCCAGCGGCGGCGAACCAAGACCAAATCCAGAGATCTCAATCCTCAATGGGACGAGACGCTCGAGTTCGTGGTCCACGATAGAGACTCCATGGCTTCGGAGACGCTCGAGGTGAATCTCTACAACGATAAGAAGGCAGGGAAACGAAGCACTTTTCTCGGAAAAGTTAAAATATCCGGAAGCATGTTTGTGAAGTCAGGTTCAGAAGCGGTTGTGTTTTATCCGTTAGAGAAGAGGAGCGTCTTCTCTCAGATCAAAGGAGAGCTCGGTCTCAAGGTGTGGTTCGTCGACGAAGATCACCCGGAAACAGAGAACGCCGCAGAGGAGAAAGCGGAGCCAGCGCCGTCGGCGGAGGAGAAGCAACCGGAGAATCCGGTTGAAGAAGATAAGGCTAAGGCAGAGGAAAAGAAAGAAGACAAGGAAAAGCCTAAAGAAGAATCTAAAGAAGAAGAAAAACCGAAGGAGGAGGCTGCGGCGGAGGCGGCGCCGCCTCCGCCGGAGGTGGAGAATCCACCGGTTGCGCAGACGGAGAGGCCGAAGGTGTTGAAGGAGAAGCACGGCGAAGTGCAAAAGCGTGCGGATCTGAACGTAAGCGATCACGAACTGCGTTCTCTGAGCGGCGATCGTAGCCGCAGCGCTTACGACCTCGTGGATCGCATGCCGTTTTTATACGTTCGTGTGGTGAAGGCGAAGCGAGCGAAAGCGGACACCGGTTCGACCGTTTACTCGAAGCTTGTGATTGGGACTCACAGTGTGAAGACCAAAAGCGAGAGTGAAGGCAAAGACTGGGATCAGGTTTTCGCCTTCGATAAAGAGGGCCTGAATTCGACGTCGTTGGAGGTTTCCGTTTGGTCAGAGGAGGTAAAAGAAGGGGACGAGAAAAGCGAGAGTTGTCTTGGAACGGTGTCGTTTGACCTGCAGGAAGTGCCTAAGAGAGTTCCACCGGATAGTCCTCTGGCTCCGCAGTGGTACACTTTGGAATCTGAAAACTCGCCGGGAAATGACGTCATGCTCGCCGTTTGGATCGGGACTCAGGCCGATGAGGCTTTTCAGGAGGCTTGGCAGTCGGATTCCGGCGGGTTGATACCGGAGACCCGAGCTAAAGTGTATCTTTCTCCCAAGCTTTGGTATCTGAGACTAACGGTCATCCAAACCCAAGACTTGCAGCTAGGTTCGGGAGCCGAGGCTAAGGTTCGGAATCCGGAGCTTTACGTTAAGGCTCAGCTCGGCCCACAGGTTTTTAAAACAGGAAGAACCTCACCCGGCTTGGCTAACCCAACGTGGAACGAGGACCTCGTGTTCGTAGCAGCCGAGCCGTTTGAGCCGTTTTTGGTTTTATCATTGGAGGACGTGTCAAATTCTAAAAATGTGGGCCAGGCTAAGGTCCACGTGTCATCCATCGAGCGGAGAACAGACGATCGAACGGAAGCAAAGTCAAGGTGGTTCAACTTATCCAGCGAAGACGAGAGCCGTTCTTACACAGGTAGGATCCACGTTCGAGTTTGCCTGGAGGGAGGATATCACGTGATAGACGAAGCCGCTCACGTGACCAGCGACGTTCGGGCCTCCGCCAAGCAACTCACGAAGCCACCAATTGGTTTGCTCGAGGTTGGTATTCGCGGCGCGACCAACCTTCTCCCGGTGAAGACCAAGGACGGGACACGTGGCACCACTGACGCTTACGTGGTGGCCAAATACGGACCCAAGTGGGTCCGAACCCGAACCATCATGGACCGGTTCAACCCGCGGTGGAACGAACAATACACGTGGGATGTTTACGATCCTTGCACTGTGCTCACCATTGGAGTGTTTGATAACGGAAGATACAAGCGGGGGGAAGATGGAAACCCTAATAGAGATTGCAGAGTGGGGAAAATTCGTGTGCGGTTGTCCACACTGGACACCAACCGGGTCTACGTAAACTCGTACTCTTTAGTCGTTTTGCTGCCAGGTGGCGCTAAGAGAATGGGAGAGATAGAGATTGCAGTGAGATTTTCATGCTCCTCGTGGTTGAGTCTAATGCAGGCCTATGCAAACCCAATTCTACCAAGAATGCACTATGTCCGCCCGTTCGGCCCGGCCCAACAAGACATCTTACGCCAAACGGCTATGAGGATAGTAACAGCTAGGCTTGCCCGGTCTGAACCGGCCTTAGGGAAGGAAGTGGTTCAGTTCATGCTGGACTCCGACACGCACGTGTGGAGCATGCGGCGGAGCAAGGCGAACTGGTTCAGAGTGGTGGGATGCTTGTCACGTGCGGCGACGCTGCTGCCTTGGGTGGACGGGATTCGCACGTGGGTGCACCCTCCCACTACCGTTCTGGTGCACGTGCTGCTTGCAGCTATAGTTCTTTGTCCCTACCTAGTGCTCCCCACTGTGTTCATGTACGCGTTCTTGATTTTACTGTTGAGGTTTCGTTACCGACAGAGGGTGCCGCAGAACATGGATCCGAGGATGTCGTACGTGGACATGGTGAGCCTGGACGAGCTGGACGAGGAGTTGGACGGGTTTCCGACGACGCGGCCGGCGGAAGTGGTGCGGATCAGGTACGACAGGGTGCGGGCGCTTGCGGGGCGGGCGCAGACGCTGCTGGGTGACGTGGCGGCGCAGGGGGAGCGCCTGGAGGCGCTCTTCAGCTGGCGGGACCCACGTGCCACGGGGATATTCGCGGTGCTGTGTTTGGTTATGTCGTTGCTCTTCTACGCGGTGCCGTTTAGGGGCTTTGTGTTGGTCGCTGGGTTCTATTACCTGCGCCACCCGAGATTCCGAAACGACATGCCGTCTATCACTGCTAACTTTTTCCGGCGACTTCCCTCGTTTGCTGATCAGATTATGTGATAAACATTAATATTTTATGTTTTATGTTACTATAGTTAGTTTGTAGGGAGATTTATTTTATAATTTTTATGGGTTTTTTTTTTATATACTTTTTGTAAGAATTTAAATCTTATCTATTTATTGATTCGTTTATTTATTGCATGGTTATCGGTTTGTGTCAATTTGGGAAAGATTTCTAGGAAACACAAACATGGCTTAAAGTGAGCAGAAAGTAGGCTCCAAAAGTGAACGAAAAGTTACCGTTGAAACAGTGGAAAAAGGATGAAAGTGAGCCACCCACGACCTTTGATGAATGGAAGAATTTAGGACCGTTGATTCAGGATACTTGAAGCCTAAGTAAATGCAGCCATTACCAATATTGGAGAGACTTAGCTGTGTAATTGACCGTTTGTGCATATCACTTTTTTGTTTTTTTCTTCCTAATTAAATATCACTATTTTTATGTCAAGTATTTGAAGTTTTTTACGTCATAAATGAAGCCGACATGGGAGACGTAAATTTATGTCGGTTTTGACAGTCAACGATTTATGTCAGATATTTAGATAGCCTGATGTAAAAAGGGGCATAAAACACGCCAAAATTTATGTCGGATAATACCATGTCCGACGTAAATTTACGTCGGTCAATGCAAGGCCTGACGTAAATTTACGTCGGACATGATCTTATTCGACGTAAATTCTAGGGTTTTTTTTTCAAAAACGTTTTTAATTTTTGATATACTCAACACCTGCATATATAATCAAACTTAAACCAGACAGTCCAGAATAGAAATTCAAATTATAAAATCCTATTATCCTAAAAAAGCTATAAAACATATGTTTGTCAATGCTATCTAACTAACTAAACTAACTAACTGTCAAACTAGAAACATAATATCTAACTAACTAAACTTAATTAAAAATCTAACTATTATATACTTTGAAGAAAAAAAGATGTCCATTGTTCTCTTATCTTGATGATCTCATCTTCAAGCAATGGAGATGGATCTTGAAAGACCTGAAACATTAATTTAAGTATTGTACTATCGTACTTCGAATCCGGGCTCCCAACCCGGATTGGCAACGCAAGGCAACCTCGAACGCGAGTTGGACGACATCAGCCCGACATTTGAGTAAATCGCAACTGAATCCCTGGGATCCTGTCCTAGACGGGCTCCCCAACTCAATCATATTATTATTATATAATATCATAACATATCTTATCTCAGGCCCAAAGCCAAAGGAAAACCTAAACTACTCCAAGGTACGTGCATTATATATACAAGACTATTATTCATACAAACCCTAACTTTGGCATCGGAGTCTCTTTTGCAGGTACCTCCCCCATCTTGGAGCACCTACACATCAGCAAAGGAGGCTCACCGATCTTACTGGACGGATCACCTCTACGACCAAAATCCGGTAAGAACATTTGGCGCCCACCGTGGGGCCGATCAAGACAGCTCTTATCGGCCACCTGCATGGTTTCTACTAGAAGCCATATCAGACGAGCGACAGACGATGCGAGCCACTCAATCACCATGGACAGCAACGCTGCAACCCTAAGGCGGCTGATCGACCAAGTCGAGCAGATGCGACAACAGCACGACGCCGACCTTCAAAATATGTGCACCCAGCACGAAAACGACCTTGCCGCGATGCGGACCGCTAATGAAGCAGAACTCGCAGCGTTACGTGCCGAGAATGAGCGCATTCGCGCCCAGCTCCCTCGACACCACTCCGATCAACCTCCACACGAGAGCGACACTCATGAGGAAGAGGCACATTCAGCCTCCCAATCCCGGGCGACGACCAAGGCACCAACTTCACGGCCTGCCACGCACTGATCTCGCGCATCGACGCACAAATCAGGGCAGGGTACCAGCAGAGCCCCCACTCATGTCTCCGAGGGCCAAGAACCTTTCCGCCGTCATCCTTTTGTGGACGACATCATGGAGACCCCATTGCCCCACGGGTGGAAGCCCCTCCACCTCGACCGCTACGACGGCACAACGGACCCCGATGAGCACATCGACTCATATACAACCCAGGTAAACCTCTACACTAACAGTGACGCTATATTGTGTAGGGTTTTTCCGACCTAGCTCAAGGGACCTGCGCTTCATTGGTACACCCAACTACCCGCCGGATCCATCGACAGTTTTGGCACCCTAGTACGGCGATTCATGGCACAGTACACCACCAGCCGACCTCACCATACAACCTCGCCCGCCTTGGCCAACCTCAGGCAGAACGACGACGAACCTCTGCGAGCTTTCATGGAACGCTTTTCCAGCATCTCGGTGAGAATCTGGAACTTGAACCCCGAGGTCACCCTGAACGCCATGCTCATGGCACTCAAACCCGGGTCATTCGTTGACAGCCTATGTCGTGACGCCTCCCGCGATATGGACGAACTGCGCGCCCGCGCCGCCGGCTACATCCAGATGGAAGAGCACGCGGCCTTCCGTGACCAGGTTCGCGGAAAAGGTCCCATGAAACCAGAACAGGGCCACAAAGACAAGGTAAAAGTCAATAATGACACCCAATTCAAGAAGTCAGCCAGAGCAAATAGAGGCGGGAGGTATGACTTCTACACCCCCCTGAACGCCCCGAGAGGCCACATCCGGGAAGAAGCCAACAACAATAACCTACTAGCCCTTCCGCCACCCGGCCACACGCCCAACAGCGCCGACAAGTCCAAGCACTGTCGGTACCACAGGAACTATGGCCACACCACGGAGGAATGTTGCACGCTCCGGGATCGCATCGAAGAACTCATCCAGGCAGGCCACCTTGGCCAGTACGTCCAACGAAAGCAAAGTCACCGAGGTGGCTCTGGAGGCCGGGGACGAGGAAGAGGCCGCGGGTCAGGAGCTCGCACAAAACTACCCATAGGGTCCCAGCAACATGCTAGTGGCGCAGTTCAGGCCAAAATAAGTCAGGAGACAGAATCAGCCCCCTTGCGGGGAGTAATCAACACAATTGCAGGCGGCTTCGCTGGAGGAGGCGCCAGCAGCTCAGCCTGGAAAAGGCACCTTCGAAGTATCAACTGCGCCCACTCTACCGCTTCGATCTCGTACAAGAGCTCGCCGCTGATCTCTTTTTCCGACGAGGACTATGTAGGCATTAGCCCTAACCAACATGATCCCATGGTCATCGTAGTGGAGGTCGCCAACTGGGAAGTACAAAAGACACTCATCGACCAAGGAAGCGTGGCCGACGTCCTGTACTGGCCAACGTTCCTCAGGCTAGACGTCCCTCATTCTCTCATCCAACCACACATAGAGCACCTAGTCAGCTTTGCAGGCAAACGGGTTCACACCCGCGGATACGTGGACCTGCTGACAACCTTCGAAGTACCCCTAGATGCAAGGAGGATCTTGGTTCGATACCTCCTAGTGGAAGCCAACACCTCCTACAACATCATCACCGGGAGGCCGACCCTGAATCATCTCGGCGCGGTGGTATCCACTCCGCACCTCATCATGAAATTCCCAGGGAGCGACGGCAAGATCATCTCTGTCAAAGCAAATTAGAAGACAGCTCGGCAATGCTACGCCGAAAGTCTAAGGATTTCCTCGTCCGGCATAGAGAGCAAGGGGGATTCCCCCACCGTAACCCACTAGATTCCGTTCTTCTTTAATGTACGAACAAAGTTGTGCACTCTTTTCCCGCCTCAGTCCCAGACTAAGAGGGTTTTTAACAAGGCACACAAAAACAATCAATAAAATTATAAGTTTTGCTCAATCCATTTCCTTACCTATTGCTTTCGTAAAAATCAAAATTGAACTAGCCTCTTTCGCGATTATCCGAGGTCGAGTCCGAACCTCCCTAAAAATCCGAGGTTGAGTACGAAACTAGGTACTCTCGTCAAAGGTCGAATTCCTAAAAATTCGGGGTCGAGTACGAAACCCGGTACTCTCGTCAAAGGTCGAATTCAAACCCAACTATGTCATTTATTTCAAAATGAGGTCAAGTACGAAACTCGATATCCTTACTCAAAGGTCGAATTCGAACCTTAATTATGTCGTTTATTTCAAAGTGAGGTTGAGTACGAACCTCAAACATGTAAATCCGGGGTCGAGTACGAACCTCGATATTCTCAATTAAAGGTCGAATTTGAACCTTAATTACGTCGTTTATTCCAAAGTGAGGTCGAGTACGAACCTCGATATTCTTACTCAAAGGTCGAATTCGAACCTTAATTATGTCGTTTATTTCAAAGTGAGGTCGAGTACGAACCTCAATATTCTTACTCAAAGGTCGAATTTGAACCTTAATTATGTCGTTTATTTCAAAGTGACGAGTACGAACCTCAAACATGTAAATCCGGGGTCGAGTACGAACCTTGACATTCTCAATTAAAGGTCGAATTCGAACCTTAATTATGTCATTTATTTCAAAGTAAGGTCGAGTACGAACCTCAAACACGTAAATCCGGGGTCGAGTACGAACCTCGATATTCTCACTTAAAGGTCGAATTCGAACCTTAATTATGTCATTTATTTCAAAGTAAGGTCGAGTACGAACCTCAAACACGTAAATCCGGGGTCGAGTACGAACCTCGATATTCTCACTTAAAGGTACCTTAATTATGTCGTTTATTTCAAAGTGAGGTCGAGTACGAACCTCAAACACGTAAATTCGGGGTCAAGCACGAACCTCGATATTCTCACTTAATGGTCGAATTCGAACCTTCATCCCATCGTTTATCTCAAATTAAGGTCGAGCACGAACCTTAAAAATGATTATCCGGGGTCAAGTCTGAACCTCACCACGCATATTCGAAACAATACTGCAAGATCGGACACAAAATTTAACCCAGCAACGAGTCGAACTCTCGCAACGTGTCGCTTAGCGAAAACTAAAGTCGAATCCGAATCTCGACACGATCAAAATGAGCTACATAACAAAAGCACAAGGCCAAAAACAGACCCCAATACCTTCACTCAAGGTCAGGGCTGAATCTCGATAATTTCAATTCATCTAAATCGGAGATCGAGTACGAGCCTCATCAACTGAGGTCTGATACAAGCCTCGGCATCCGAAGTCAAAACATGAACCCCGACGCTCTCGTTACGGGGCGAGTCTGAACCTCAACTAAATCACTTTACTCAAAGCTGAGGACGACTTCGAACCTTAGCTCAATCATTTCACTCAAATT